CTATCAATGAGTAAATCTCAACAAACCGTTACCCATAAACAGTGAGTCTGGACCCGTGTAAGGATGATGAAGCGCTAGATTGGCAAGATCATTGGTGACGTGATGCGTTGCTCCACTGACAACCAGAAAATTAGATTGAGAGGTGCCAGCAGTTGCAGTATGGACCTGAACCTGTCCAGGGTTAGCAGAAGAGTAACGAGGAGGCTGCGGGACACCAGGGTGTTACTACTTGAAGGTGTGACACTAAGACAGAACATGACCCTTGACATTGCACCATTGACAGCGACTAAGAAACGATTTGCGATTGTCAGGGCGTGAAGTGGATGATGCAGAAAATTGCCCAGACCGAGTTTTGTCAGAATGGTTGGGTCGTGCTTGTACATTCAAGGCTGTCATGGGAGCAGGAACCTGCCGTTGAGCAGCAACAAGGGAGAGTTCTTGAATGAGAAGCTTCTCGAGGAGATCATCAAAAAGAATGGCAGTGTCCCTTGCATTGACGCCGTCAATGACAGCTCTGTAGCCGTCGTCGAGACCACGCAAGATATGGTCAGTCATGTCTTCAACGGAGACAGGAGAGCCAAGTGAGGCAAGGAGATTTGCAGTTTGCTTCAGAGAATGCATGTAGGTGGTGATGGATTGGGTACCTTTGGACGCCGTGTGGAGACGCTCCTTTAACTGCTTGAGGTGGCTGCAGGATGCCTTGGCATAGGTGCGCTGGAGAAGAGTCCAGAGATCATGTGATGTCTTTGTTTGAGACACCAGGGATGCCACTTCAGAGGAGAGTGTGGTGAGGAGAGCACCGTATATAAGACGGTCCTGTCGACGCCAGGTTTGGTAAGCAGGATTCGGAGTTGTCACCGAAGGTTCAAGGGTGGTGGAGACCGTCGTCGCCGGCGCAGGAAAGGATCCATCTGGATATTTGAGAAGATCATAGCCATCGAGGAAAGCTTCAACTTGAAGTTTCCAGGTGAGGTAATTGAAGGGAAAAAGCTTGGTGACACTGCTGAGGGTGATGCAAATGAAGGGTTTTGATGGCTCATGAGGGTTGCTAATAGATGAAGAGTTGTCGTTGGCCATGGGAGGCAAAAAGAAAAGAAGGAGCGGCATCCTGTGTTGGAAAAAAAAAGGGAGAAGAGGATCTTGTATTAGGCTGATACCATATAGGAAAATGTTTGGAATTAATTTGATTGATTGTCATTGGGTTACAGCAGTATAAATATACAAGTTGATAACGTAAATTGGAAAGAATCACGGGAATAAATTCTACCAATTTAGTACTAACAGTTAGCCTAAATAAAGGGAAAGCAGATATGTAAAAACTGGCTAATAAAAATTGATTATTATAATTTAAAAACTAATTATTATAATTGATAACTTTATCCTTTTAAAAAATGAATGACACAAGGAAAATAAAAATCATTAAATTCAACTACTAATAATCATGTAATAAAATCATATATTCTTTTTAAATAATCATAACTCTTAATTTAATGTTTATTTCTTTCTTTTTATTTTAAAAAAATAAATAAATCTTTTTCACTATAACGATTAATAACAAAATAATACAATAATTTAAAAAAATCATTTAATAATAAAAATATATTTATATTATTGTTAGACTGATTTTAAAAAAATAATATAAAAAATCAGAGAAATTATTGTTCCTCTAAATATTATATCAGAAAAAGGAAATAAAATTGATCATATTTTCATAAATATAATCAAATGATTTCGATTGAGATTCATTAATCTCCATTAATTTAAAAAATAGACATATACAGAACAAGTAACATCAATTCTAACGATATCGAAACCATTCTTTATTCTTACAAGGGAATGTAAGAGTATGCTATCACAGTGTACACTCTATTTGGAAAGGAAGAAAATGAAGGGTAGGTATCTAGAAGATAATTAAAGCCCCTAATCCCTTCAATAGGACAGTTAATTAATTACTAGAAAGATGTAGCAAAGCATGATAGATAGTTAAACATTGTGAATTGTCATTGTACAAGTGCCACTGAAAGGGGAATTAAAAACTCACAGAAGCTGGCCTTCGTTGGTGCAATGCAAATTATGCAATGCAACGTAAATTATTTTATATTTCAATAAAATAAAACTTGAAATTAAGATCTTATATGTACTGTTTCAACTTTTACTTAATTGGTAAGACTAAAATTGTAAGTTTTATATAATTAAATGACAGAAATTAAAGAATTAAGATAAGGAGACTTGGTGGAAAATATTAGAAGTATAAACTTCTTGTGAACAAAGAAAATGAAAAATGCAACAGAGTCAGTCACAGTGAAGGAAAAACGAAAAATGAATTGATCTCAATTTCTCTGTCAAAACAGTACAATACCAGGGGTCTCTATATAAATAATTTATAACCATATATAAATAGATGTGATAACCTATAATAGCCGGTAAACCTGTAAGCTGTTGTTCAGGCCGATTCTTCTTTAATCTGCAATACTTTTCACAATAACCATTTTTATTGCAAAAATTACAGTTAAAAAGTGGTTTATCTTTAAACCAACAATCTTCTTTAGAATGGTTGGTTCTTTGGCAATGAAAACAAGGCAAAAAATTCCCTTTTCTCAAAGAACCTTCATTTTTCCTTTGTTCCTGTTGAAAGTTTGTGACTTTCCAAAATTCCTTCCATTGTGCTTTGCTCGAAAGGCACCTTCAATAGCTTCATCACTTCTAATGGAGACTTTTTGCTCTTGTGCATGAAGCTTACTAGTCAATTCAGTAATTGTCAGAGTTTGCAAATCACAAGACTCTTCAATTGCAGAAATTTTGGCTTCAAATCTTTTAGGCATCGAAACCATGATTTTTTCGACAACCTTTTGATCTGTAAATGATGTTTCACCAAGAAGTCGCATTTGGTTCACAACATCCATTAATCTGCTAGAATAATCTTTGACAGATTCATTATCCTTCATCTTCATCAATTCAAATTCTCTCTTCAATGTGAGAAGTCTAACATATTTGACTTTGCTACTGCCTTCAAATTCATCTTGAATCTTGTCCCACACCTGTTTAGGTGTTTCAAAGTCCATGATTTTAGTAAAAATATGATCTGCAAGTCCTGCATATAGGCAAGTGATGGCTTTATCTTTCTTCAGCTTCTCCTCCTCATAAGCTTTGATTTGTGCAATGGTTGGATTTTCTCTCAATGGTGATGGATCAGCTTCAGAAATTATAACATTTCATAAACCTTGAGATCTTAAAACAAATTTCATCTTGACGGTCCAAATATGATAATTTTCCCCATTAAACATTGGAATTACAGGTGAATTGGTGAAAGTAGACATCCTTGCACCAAAAATTGTCTAAATAATAAATCACTCAATTTAATATTTGCACTCAATCTCAATGTGTTTAGCACTCAATAATTTTTTTTCTCACAGTCCGTAGGAAGCAAGCTCTTGATACCACTCAATAAATTTAGACTTCACATTTACCAAAAGTGATGATTTTAGTCCCTCGAGAGGAACTAAAAACATGTACTTATGTTATAACGTAAAGACTAAAAATGTGTAGAATTTTTATAGCGACTAAAACTTATATTTGAAAACATTGAAAGACTAAACATATTTTACCTTAATTTATCGTATCTTCTTTGAGTATCGTAAAGGAAAGTGTTATGAACTTGTGATTCTCTTAAAGCACCATTGAAACTAAAGTTAAAGTCCACAATAATTATTATTTAAATTCTCCGGTACTCCCTTGCATCTCAACTATGAAGGATGGGGATGAGATCATGAATTCCCACCATGCGAAACAATAAAAGCATTAATATTTGCTCTGTCCAAGACATAAGCTGTTCAACTAAAAAATGGCCAAAGTATTTTTTTGTACAAAAAGGAATAAGAATACATAAAGAAAGCAGGTACATACCAGAATAAATAAGTTGACGTTAGAATGACATTTAACATCAGGAAGATTTAGTTTGTTATTTAAACCCCTTTCAACAATTCCAACATAAGTTGGCCTTGCACCACTGTCATCAGAAGGGCATGAAATAAATACTTGAGCTCTGTCATGTAACTGCACATTCATCATTTATTGTATTTAGAGAATCTATATTCTTCTAGATAGATGAGACATTATGTAAACTTCCTAGCTATTGGGTTATAGAAATAAGATGATAGTATCTGAAAAACATTACTCTCATCAATTTTAGCAATAAAATCATGATTTTCAACCAAATCAAATTTCAAATAAAAACTGTTTTTGGTCATCTTAATCTTTGCAATCTCTAAACCATGTTCATCCATGATAAAAACAATAATTCTCTTTAAAAGAGATTCCATAACCATTCCTTAGCATTTATGAAACACTAAGAACATTTTGATCCAATTTTGGAATGTAGAGAACATCTTTAACAATTATCATACCTTTCTTGGTTGCAATAGAAATTATCCTTTTCCATTGACTTGTACAATTTCACCATTTCTCATCTTGACTTTTGACTCAATTGATTTGTCAATGGAAGTAAAAAACGATAAATATTTAGTCATGTGACTAGTGCAACCAAAGAGCGCAGAATGCAAGGGCCGACTTATTATCAAAGCTTGCTAGCACTAAGCGCCCTGGCCAACATAAGATCATCATTCAAGAAACAATAGCTGCCCCTAGTTGCCAAGTTACAGCAATTTTTGCCAACAATTCATACCAGCAAGGTTGGATGGCCGACATTTGGAAATATCTTAAAGATGGGACCTTGCCAGACGTTAGCACTGAAATTGTTAGGATTTGTAAAAGGAAGTCTGTTTTGTTTAGCCAGATGACAGGTGCTGCAATGAAAATTGGAGTCAATAGCACTCAATTGAGTTTTATTAGCAATAAGTCTGTATACAGAAGTAGGTACATGACCCAATCTTTGGTGCCAAATGTCATAGGTAATAGAATTGGAAATTTGATTACAAACAGGATTTAAACCAGACTTAGGAAAATCAAAGAGGAGAAGCCCGTGACGTTGTTTAACAATGCCAATCTTCCTCAAGGTCTTGAGGTCCTGGAGAATACAGCTGTTGGTATCTAAAACAAATCTGAAACAATTCTCATTGATGAGGGTTAATAAAGATAATAAGTTGAATCTAAAAGTAGGTATATGAAGAACATTATGCAGAAAAATATCATCATTCAGCCTAATGCTCCCTATTCCTTCTACCTTAACTTTAGTGGAATTAGGCAGCAAAACATTAGAATTATGAAGAGGTGAATATGAGTTATACATGTGTTTGGAACAACATATATGATATGTAGCCCCTGAATCTATGATCCAAGTGTTATCTTTGTCAGGAAATTTTACATTCATACAAATACCTGTAACATTGGTGGCTAGAGCATCAAGATTATTGTCAGATTGCATTTGATTAGTCAGAAAAGTGATCAACTGCTGACACTGAGCATGGGTCAGATTAGATGAAGAATTCAAATTCAAGGAATCAGTTGAGTTTTCAACTTGATTCACAACTTTTGGTTGACGATTTTTGAAATAGTTAGGGGGGTACCCCACAAGTTTGTAACATTTATCTTTGGTATGACCGAACATCTCACAGTGAGCACACTTCGGTCTTTCTTTCTTAGTAAATCCACTTTTGTTGCTGTCAGAATGTATTTTAGCAGGTTGGTTCACAATAAAAGCCATGTGTTCAGAATCATTAGAACTGTGTGTAATTGCAATTTCTTTCTGAGCTTCTTCTTGAAGAATTAGGGAAAAAACGTTACCAATTGAAGGGAGAGGATCAGAGAGTAAAATCTGACCACGGATTTGTGAAAAAGAATCGTTGAGACCCATCAGGAAGGACATGACATATTCAGATTGTGTGTGTTCTTGAAGGGATTGAAGTCCTCCACAGGTGCACTGAAAATTCGGTTTGTAACCAGCTAATTCCTCCCATATTGATTTCAATTTGGTGTAGTATGTACTGACGTCATTTGATCCCTGTTGCGGAGACATCAATTGGCGCCTGAGTTGAAATATCCGAGGTCCATTCTTTCTTGAAAATCTTGTTTTCAAGTCATCCCAAATCTCTTTGGCAATGGTTGCAAAGAGAATACTCGTGATTATATCCTTTGAGACAGAGTTATAGAGCCAGGATATAACCACATTATTTCCACGGTTCCAAGCAACGAAGGTAGAATCTGTGGCAGCGGGTTTCGGGAGAGTTTCGTCTATGAAGGCAAGCTTGTTCTTCACGGAGAGAGCCACATGCATCGCACGACTCCATGTGGTATAGTTCTTGTGATCAAGAGGCTGAGAGGTGAGAACAAGCCCGGGTCCATCCGAATGATGTAGGAAGAGGGGGTTGCTTGGATCTTGAGTAGGATCTTTCGTTTGTGTTGTCATGTCTGAGTTGATTTCTTCTGATACCATATTAGAAGTATAAACTTCTTGTGAACAAAGAAAATGAAAAATGCAACAGAGTCAGCCACAGTGAAGGAAAAACGAAAAATGAATTGATCTCAATTTCTCTGTCAAAACAGTACAATACCAGGGGTCTCTATATAAATAATTTATAACCATATATAAATAGATGTGATAACCTATAATAGCCGGTAAACCTGTAACATAATCCAATAGAAAAAGAAAGATAAGGATACTTAAATCAAAAATTGCATATATTCTCCATCATCAATGACACGTTAATATTTTCGGGTGTTAATCATATACTCCCACGATGAATTAATGAATAAAGTAAAATTTCTTAATTCAATACATTAAGAGACTAATTTTGTGCAATTAAAAATCATAGATTATAAATTATAAGAGAATCAGTTGTACAATTAACTCGTGTACTTCTATGTCAGTGTAGAGGCATCATCACACAACATCGTAATCAACCTTGTTACGGGCTTATTATAATAAATTCCTCCAAAAGAACTCACGAGACAAGAAAGAAAAATAAAATTAATTTTTAACAAACTTAAATTAACTCATACATTGGTTAAATTTGTAAAAGTCCTTAAAGTTTTGATAACTCATTTTTAACTTACAGAAGTTAATATAAGTTAAATTAACGTATGCAAAAATATTTAATTGTTTGTTTATCAAAGCTTGAATAATAAAGATTAATTGAAGTACATGTTTACAAATATTAATCTACTTAATTATCAATGTTTAAAATTAATTATGCATAATATATAATATATTTATTAAAAGTATAAATATGCCAAATTGGTTCTAAAATAAAATCAAATTTGAACTATATTTAAATTAAAAATCGCGTCAGTTTTACATTATAAAAATTAATCAGGTGAGATATTAGAAAAAATAATAATATATATATATATATATATAATATATGATTTTAAATACCACCAAAAATAATGTGAAAAGAGAAAAAACATTTATCAAACATTTGAATAAAATCTAATTAATTAATTTAATACATGTTTTTTTTTTTAATGTTGTGCATGTGATATTTATCATAATATTTGATTGAAAAGAAATGAAGAAGGGAAGATGATTTTTATAAACTTCTTTTTTATTTATTTATACTTTTTATAAGAAAAGAGGAGGAAAATGGTGAGAAGGGAAATCCCTCATGATCTGATTTTAACTCTCCTATAATATTGGGAGATTTGGTTAAGAGATTCAGAATTTTAAAATATTTTTAATGTAATGTTTGAATATCCTCATTTGTATTTTTAAATTTAAAATTATAAGAGCACAATAATAAATTATTTTTTAAAATCTCTCTCATTTCCTCATAAATCAAATAAGAAAAGAGTTATTTTTCTTCACTTCTTTCAAACAAATAAAATTTTTATTCCTTCCCTTTATTAAAATCTCATCCCTCCTTCCTCCTCTTTTGAACCAAAAAACCCATATATATGGTATGTTTGGAAGATGTGGTTTAGTAGGGAAAGAAAAATAAAATGATATATTATCAAGGAATTAAAAAAAGAGAAAATTGCACATATCTTCTCCGAAGTCTATTGAGATAATACACACCCCCTTTCTAGTTTTTAAAATCACTCACCTCTCTTAGAATAATGTCAATAATTAAGGTAAGAAAAGAAGAAAAAAATAAAAATCAAATCATATTCTATTAATCATATACATATTTATTATTTGTTTCTGAATTACGTACAATATTATATCTTCTCTTTGAAAATTTTCATCATTCTTCGATTTTAAAAATAATAATTTCTCATTCTTTATTTGAAATTGTTTCTTAAAATTTGTATTTTTAAAATCACAACACACATGATATTTAAGATATAGTTTAAGAGTTAAAATTAAGTAAGAGATTTCATTCAATTGTTAATATTTGCATTAATATTTTTTTTCTTCTTAATAGTACACAAATTGTTATCATATATAAAGAGTTATTGTGCCACTTAAATAAATAAATAAGAGAGGTTAGTACTCATTTAAAAACTACTGTGTTTAATTTAAAAAGGCCTTAGAGAAGGTTAGTGCAATTTTCCTTTTAAAAAAACATGTTTGGAGAGATGATTTAAGTGAATTTAGAAAGAATCTGTGATGAGATCCATGTGAATTTAATTAATCTCTTTTATGGGTAAATTTATGTGAAAATTTTCACAAAAACTGCACCATCCTACACTATTGTCTAAACAGTTTGTTAGTAAAAGGTAAAAGTATATCTGTCTAAATAATATATTTTTACATAAAAATTAACTATATAAAATACAAATTTAAAATATCAATTTTTTTATTTCTCACCTAATTTCACTTTATTAAATAATTATAAATTTCACATTATTTTTTTTTACCTATTTTCTATTAAATTAATCTTCACATATTCTTTTTGATTTTTCTCCTTTCTCAAACAAAACATTAGAATCTTATTAATTTAAAGGAGGGGTGAAATTTTAATGAAAGGAGAAAGTTAAAAATTTTGTTTGATTAAGAGAAGAGGAAGGAAAGCAACTTTTTTTTTTTTGTTTAATTCACACGTAGAAAAGAAATTTTTAAAAATTAATTTATTTTTATATCTTTATAATTTTAAATTTAAAAACATAAATGATATTCTAGAAATTATACTATAAATATTTTAAAATCTTTTATCTCTTTTTCAAATCTCTCAATATTAAAAAAGAGCTATAAAATTGAGTTAAGAGAGATTTTACTCTCCCGCCTAGAATTTAAATCAAACAAAACAAATTTAAAATATTTCTTCCATTTCATTCTCCTCTAACCAACCCAATAACTGCGTAAGTTAAACTATGTAAGTTAAAGGACATTAAATATGCATTCTTAAATATAATTTAAGAATACAGACAAGATAGACCCAGTAAGTTGCCATTGCATTTTATTGTGAATTGCTACATCATATATTCGTATCGGGTGAGAGTAACCCATTATCTATGTTTTTGGACATCCGATACATTCAGTGTGAGCATTCACGTATTATTATGATAAGAAAATTAACAAGTGAACAAGCAGAGTATCAAACGCTTAATTTGGGATGGAAATCTGAGTTAACAAGCGATGATGATAATTCATCTAAACAAGCCATCCGAATTCTCTCAGGAGTTGCTGGAGTGTCGAGAGGAAACCAGTCATTACACCCCATTTCAGCTCTTGCAGCTATGATGGCATCCTTGATTGCAAATAACACAGCTGATGCTAGGAAAAATGGAGGCTCACCAACAGCTTTAGATGAATGGATGGCCTTAACATTTGGATGACCCTACCAATTAGAGCATACAACAATGAACAGGGAAGTCAACATGTTGATATATCTTCAATTTTGTGAATTAATAACTCATCAATATTTTAATCTTATAATGACCATCTAATATAATAGTTCAGGGTTCAGGAACATACCTTCAGGAGTGAGACATTGAGTTTGAGGGGAACATCATTTATAGAAGGAATTTTATAAGCTCCTGGTCCACAAGTGTAAAGGCACCCAGGCGAGATCCATTTATGTCCTCCATCTCCCCATTTAAGTTCTTCTAAAGCTACCCAACCCAAACCTTGCATAAAAGCTCCCTCAATCTGTGAGAATAAATAGCAAGAACAAAATATGAAATTATCATGAAAATTACGGCAAACCTGGTTTTCAAGACCATGGAGGTAAAAATAGGAAGTTGTAAAGGAATTTTACAGTGTTTAATATTATACACACGTCACACACAGAGAATACAACTTTCATCATTTCCCCAAAAAGGTCTCAATCCTGAACCAAACATCCTGCAATAAAGACTCCGAAAAACAGGCTTTGAAAAATTTCACTATTCTCACAAAGTGAAACCATTTCATATTGATATAAGCTTTTTTATCACAATGAGACAATATTTTGTAATATCTCTGATCACTCAAAGAGTCAACACAAGCATTTTGATTAAGAAAATACTTACAAACATTCAAATTATTCATGAAAGCCAAATTTCATTCACCATCATAAAATATAAGGAAGCTGACTTAAGTTATTTTCTATGAAATTTTCTGATCTCCGTTTAAAGGAAATGCTGTCCTGTCGTGTTCCTTCTACATCCTTAATAAACTTCCTTTGTCTAGTTATCTGTTCTGAAATTAATAATAAAAGAAAACAATAAATAATTATAGAAAGGAAAAAGTACCTGTCCAACATCTATCGCTGGATTCAGAGAATAACCTAGATCCAAAACTATGTTTGCCACTCTAGTATGAAAATCTCCGGTCAGTGTGTCAATTTCAACCTCAGCAAACGCGGCCCCATAAGTGAAATACCTAAACAGTTTTCCTTTACCCGTAGTCCAATCAAAGCCAATATCAGGTGTAATATAAAATCCATGGGCCGAAAGGTCTATTCGCTCTTCATAGCATGCACCAACTAGCTGAAAAGAATAAAAGCATAACAAAAACATGTTCAATAGTTTTCAACCATACCACGAGGCACCTTTTAAAAGCAGTGACAATCATAAGATACTAGTAAGTACAAGACTTGTTGACATAGTCTTCAAACTAATGCAATCACTTATATTTGTATTCATCTTGAAACCCAAGATATTTATTTGAAAATATGTAAGATTAATAAAAAAAATTTCAGTTATTTCCTCTCACACCTTCCAACTCCTCCGCATTTATATAAAATTTAAATTGTTGAGATGCCTTGAATTTATATTTTGTCCGTTACTATTTCTATCTTTATTTGGATTGTAATGAGACTGTTATATTTTATCCTTGTTATAAGGCTAAAAGGCATCTGTATCATAATCTCTATTCATTCAGAAATAAGAAACTCTTGAACTGCTTGTGGACGTAGGTCACACTGACTGAACCACATAATTTGTGTGTCGTCTTATTTCTCTTGATTTCTTTCTTTTACATATTGTCGTAACAATTGGTATCAGAGATCTAGGTTACGCTAGGGCCTGATCTGAAGAAACGCAATGTCTTCGTATAAATTCGATATTGAT